GGTTGAAATGAATTTAATTAAGAAACAAAAATATTTTTATATAGGTCACTAATTTTTGTACTTTTGGTTAAACCATCTCATAAAAAATTAACAAAGAGAGTATTTAAACTAATTTAATGTCGTATGTATTGTCTATATTTATTATTTACTCATATATGGTGTGTGTCTATATCCTATCAAATAAATTAAAACTTCTAGATTATATACGTGCGCAGATATCTTCCGCAACCTTTTTTTTAATTAAACAGCCATCGATCGCCATAATATAGGGGAAATTATTAGCAATTTAAAATACATTTCTGCATCAAAGCAAAAGAAAAAACTAAAGGAGACAAATAAATTATAAAGAAATTTGAAGGCAACGATGACGATAGAGCTATATTATAAATAGAGAACAGAGGAGACCATAAGGCAAAACTCAGACCCACTCGTCTCTCTCCTCCACTCACACTCAATGGACACATCACCGTCGTCCCCACCTCCATCCCCGGTGATTCTCCACCTCGATTCAATCAGAGCTCTCAAAATCCTCGGTAAAGGCGCCACTGGAACCGTCTTCCTTGCTCACGACGTCGCTTCACTCTCTTCTTCTTCCTTCGCCGTCAAGCTCGTCCACAAATCCTCTGCCTCCTCTCTCCGCCGTGCACTGTGGGAAATCGAGGTCCTCCGTCGTCTCTCCGTCGACTCCAATCAAAACCCTTTTCTCCCTCGTCTCTTATCTTCCTTCGAGTCACCGGAATTCTTCGCCTGGTCCGTACCTTATTGCTCCGGCGGCGATCTCAATGTCCTCCTCCGCCGTCAAAACGACGGCGTTTTTAGCTCCTCTGTTATTAGATTCTACGTGGCTGAGATCGTATGTGCGCTTGACCATCTTCATTCCATGGGGATCGCTTACAGAGACTTGAAACCTGAAAACATTCTGATTCAACAATCCGGTCACGTTACACTCACCGATTTCGACCTTTCTCGGAGCCTCAAAAAACCCACCCGGCCGCAATTCTATCAACCCGACCCGGAATTGAGCACGGGTCGTAATAAAAATGGGAGCTTTTCTCGGTGGATCTCGCCGGCGGTTACAGAGAGGAACAAAACAGGGCTGAAGAAAACGAGATCCGCTCGGGTTAACCCGATTACTCGTCGGAAAACGAGTTTTTCCTCCGGCGAACGTTCTAATTCCTTTGTCGGAACCGACGAGTACGTCTCGCCGGAGGTGATTCGCGGCGATGGTCACGATTTCTCCGTCGATTGGTGGGCTCTCGGCGTTTTGACATATGAGATGATGTACGGAGAGACTCCGTTCAAAGGGAAGAGCAAGAAGGAGACTTTTCGAAACGTGTTGGTTAAGGAACCCGAGTTCGCTGGAAAACCCAACGACTTAACCGATTTTATCCGGCGGTTGCTGGTTAAGGATCCGAACAAGCGGTTAGGTAGCAACCGTGGCGGGGCGGAGATAAAGGAGCATGCTTTTTTCGCGGGTGTGAGATGGGATTTGTTAACGGAGGTGTTACGACCTCCGTTTATTCCGTTAAAGGATGACGGGGAGTTAACGGTAGGTGGGTTTGATATAACGGAACATTTTGAGGAACGGAGGACGACGTCATCATCAGCTCCTCCGTCACCGTTACGGACTCCGACGCACGTGTGCCATAAGAATGATCCGTTTATTGATTTCTGATCCACGTGTGGGGAATCTAACTTGTAGATATATTCTTCTTCTTCTTTTTTGTGTAATTTTTAGTTTTTCTGATTTTCATTTGTATGAAAATCATTGTTAGAACAAGAAACTGGTAACAAGAAATGTATTTCCACTTACGTGAGAATTATTTAAAACAATAATCCTTTGGTATAGAAGACTATGCTTGCACAATCCGAAGAAAACATTTGAAAAAGCTAACATAATTTAGAATATTATATAGGTGATCTAAAGGATCAACCTAAAGAATCATTAGAATGTCGAGGAAAAAGATGGAGTTAGTGGGTCTTGGATTCGATACGAATTATCACAAGATGTTGGGTTGAAAATGTAGTTGAAAACAATAACAATACCAAAATAGAATCGCAAGCTTAGAAGGAAATTTTCGAAAGCTACATGGAATCGAACTTCCGAAAACTTTAAAAAAATTCCGATTACAAAGCGGCAAACGAACCTCCGACAAAACTTCGGTACTACCTATAATCACATAATACAATTGATATAGTCACATATATTAACAATCATTTTCCGAATGTAGCGGAATATATACTCAAACATGGATTCTTAATATATATTGTAATATATTTTTTAACTAGTTATAATTAATGTGCTTACTCATTTTTCATCATTTCATTGCAGATAGTCTCATTTGAAACGATCACAGATAAAAACTAAATATATGAAATAGTGGTTCAAGATCCTCTCGATGTATCGAAAACTTGGTTCTATGTAATTAGCAGACCAAGTTATAGTTAAAAATCCTACATAAGAAGTGTGATGAATCACACTCATTTCACCGAAATAGTCCAATTTCACAATAACTAAACACTCATAAGAAATCGCAAAATCATCACTAAGCAATGGAATTTTCTTAAGCAATGGAATTTCAGTAATATTGTGTGTTTCCCTATAGATTAAGCAAAGAAGCAAAGAAACACACGATGGAATTCCTTTTGAGAAGAGTCGTTAGCATTTTTTTCATGATTATTCAAAAGTAACTCCGTTGTTAAACAAACTTATTTTTCCTAGTTTAAAGTGACTTTACATTGATTCGGAATTCACTTTCAATAAGAACTCTTTACCGTTCAAACTAACTA